CTCTACCCTAGGTACTCTAAGTATTTCATATAAATGAAATCACACAATATTTGTCCTTTTGTGACTGGCTTTTCACTTATTAGTGAAAGGTCCTCCAAGGTCATCCATGTCATAGTATGTCAGAATTTCCTTCCTTTTAAAGGATGAAAAAATTCCATTTTATTTATATATTTTGTAAATCCATGCATCTGTTGATGGATAGGCTTAGGTTGCTTCCACCTTTTGACTATTGTGAATAATGCTACTATGAGCATAACTCTGTTCAACGGTCAAGACCCTGATTTCGATCCTTTTGGGTATATATACTACCTAGGAGTGGAATTATTGGATCATATAGTAATTCTACTTCTAATTTTTGAGAGAATTGTCATACTGTTTTCCATAGCTGCTGTACCATTTTACATTTCCACCAATAGTACATGAGAGTTCCAATTTTTCTAGTCTTGCCAACACTTCTTATTCAGTTTGGTAATAGCCATTCTCAAAGGTGTGAGATGGCATCCCATTGTGGTTTTGATTTGTATTTTCCTAATGACCAGTAACAGTTGAACATCTTTTCATGTGGTTATTGGCCCTTTGTGTATCTTTGGAGAAATGGCTATTCAAGTCTTTTGCCCATTTTTAAAATATTTTTTTTGGGGGGGGGGGGAGGTTGTGGGAGTCTTTCATATATCCTAAATATTAACCCCTTGCCAGATATATTTTATATATATATATATATATATATATATATATATATATATATATTTTTTTTTTTTTTTTTTCTTTCATTCCATGAATTGACCTTTTCACTCTGTTGTGTCTTTAATCTGGCTTGTAAATTAGGAAATACTAAACATCTGCTTAAGTCAAATGAAATTAAATAAATGAATATCATAAAAATAAGCTTCAATATCACATTTGGAGCAGTGAAAAGCAGGGACAGTACATGGAGATAGGAAGGAAATGAAGCTGTAGAGAGTGGAAAGAAAAGAGTTATGGAGCAAGAGAAAGGCAGACATTAACGTATGTAGTTCTTAATATTTATGTCATAAATATTTATTATTCCATTTATTCATCTGTTTTAACATCACCATCTCTTACCTTTAGTAATATTCATTTCTTCATTCAGAAAGCATGTCCTGAATGTCTATAGCTATGTCACTGACTGCACTCAAGAGGCTTTTATCTTGTTAAGAGGTTAAGGTAAGACAGATATTAAAAATTAAGGTGGAATGAAAAGTGCAACACTAGAAGTACTGTGAAGAGGGAGCCTAAAAGGAACAGTTTATCTTCACTGTGTGCTTTCCAGCTCTGAATGAGCCCCTAGTCTCTTTTGGTGGCTTTCCTGGTATTTCTGACTTCTCTTGGAAAGGGCATTTTTCTCAAAGTTGATATTTCTGAAGTAGAAAAGCCATGGCTATTCTAATCTAAGTTTAAACTAAAAAATAACAAAAAGCCCTGGCCAGTTTGGCCTAGCTGTTAGAGCATCGGCCTGAGGACCAAAGGGTTGCGGGTTTGATTCCCAGTCAAGAGCACATACCTGGGTTGTAGGTTCAATCCTTGGCCCCAGTTGGGGTTGTGCTAGAGGCCACCAATCGATGTGTCTCTCACATTCATATTTCTCTCTCCCCCTCCCTCCCTTCCACTCTATCTAATGGAAAAATATCCTCGGGTGAAGATTAACAACAAAAAGATAAAAAACTGCCCTAGTTGATTTTGCTCAGTGGTTAGAACATCGGCCCGTGAACCAGAGAGTCCTGGGTTGGGTTCCCGCTAGGGCACATACCTCCGTTGCAGTTTGTCTCCGGCCCCAGCTGGGGTTGTGTGGGTGGCAGCCAGTCAATGTTTCTCTCTCTCTTCCCCCCTCTCTCCCTCCTGCTCTATCTAAAGATAAATGCAAAGATGCCCTCGAGTGAGGATAAACAATAAATAAATAAATAAAAAGATAAAAAACCTTCCTGGCCAGTGCACCTCAGTTGGTTGAATGTCATCCTGTGCACTGAAAGTTTGCCGGTTCAATTCCTAGTCAGGGCACATACCCAGGTTTTAGGTTCAATCCCCGGTTGGGGTATGTGTGGGAGGTAACTGTTCAATGTTTCTCTCTTTCTCTCTCCCTCCCTAACAACAACAACAAAAATCAATAAAAACGTATTAAAAAAAAAAAAAAAATATATATATATATATATATATATATATGACCAAAAAATTTGAAACAATCAGTAATAAAATCCAAACTCTTAGCTGTAAGGTAACTTTATAATTCAAGGCTATGATGGTTTAATCTAGCAGAGATCCCTATCTTTATCCTTCCTCCCCCAATAATTTTACAAATTCTTAGTGTCTCCTAGCTGTTTCCTCTTTTTACTGTGGTGTTTCTGTTAAAATGAATTTTAGTATCTAGCTTTTATAATTACTAGGCAGTGTGGTCTGTGGTGGGTAGAGGAAATCACAAGTGTGGCCAACTTCCGTTGGAGGCTGACTAGTGTCATAATTGGGGGATTTCTCTGAAATAACAGAGTAAGGTTACATTCTTAGCTGATTTTTTCCTAGGGCTTCATAGTCTATAGCACTCTGGCTAGCAGCACCAGAAGGTAGGCTGTTTAAAAATATTCTTTTGGGTTCTCTCTCTCTCTCTCTCTGGAGCACAGCCAAGCCTTTCTCCCTTTCTTTCTATTTTTAAAAAAAATTTTTTTTGCATTTATCTTTAGATAAAGCTGGAAGGAGAGAGGGAAGAAGAGAGAAACATCGACGTGAGAGAGACACATTGACTGGCCGCCACCCACACAACCCCATGGAGCCAGGGACAAACTGAAACCAAGGCACGCACCCCTAGTGGGAACCGAACCCAGGACTCTCTGGTCCATAGGCTGATGCTCCAACCGCTGAGCCAAACCAGCCAGGGCCTCCCTTTCTTTCTAGTAACCTTCTCCTTTCCCCAGGCACATTACCTTTGCCTTTCTTTTTCTTAGGCTCCAAGTTCCCTTTTTTGCCTCTGTAACTTGTTTCCTGAGACCACACAGCCCAGCTGACTTGCTTCTTTCTACCTCTAAAAATAAAAATAAAAATTCTTTTAGGTCAGGCAGTTTTGTACAAGCTAACATGTTATTTTATTTATTTTTTATTGAATTTTACAGAGAGAGGAAAGAAGAGGGAGAGAGACAGAAACATTGATGAGAGAGAACGACTGGCTGCCTCCTGCATGCCCCCTACTGGGGATTTGGTCCACAACCTAGGCATGTGCCCTGACCAGGAATCGAACTGGCGACCTCTTGGTGCATGGATCGATGCTCAACCACTGAGCCACAGCAGCTGGACAAACATATTATTTTATTTTATTTTATTATTATTTTTTTAATGAATTTATTTTTGTTACAGATGTTTCCCCTTTTTCACCCACTGATTCCTCCCTCCCCACCCTGTCCTCAACTTTGTTGTCCATGTCCATTGTTCATACATACACTAACATGTTATTTTAAATTGTAGATTTAAAGTTTCACATCCTAAACTAAATGCCAGAACCTATTACACATGTTTTCCATTAACATTTTTCAGTGAGAGTTACTATTGTAATGGAATTGCATTATAAAACTTAAATTTCTTTATATGCATAATGTCACTAGCCCCAAATAACAAATGTCAAGAAACTCACAAAGCATTTAGGAACTTTCTGTTTCTCAAAATAAATTTTTGTTATATTCCATTCAATAAGCACTCCATTCATTGCTTTTATTCTTGAATTTAATCAGAAAAAAATATATAAAAACACTGGTTTCCTTTTTAGTGCAAAACAATTACTATAAAATACCTCATTTAAAAAAATATAATGTAGTAGTGTAATAAACATTGCCTCTGCAGTAAGAATTCTGCCCAGAATAGCCACAGTAACTAAAAGAAAAGTTACCATATTTTGAAATTACTAAATCAAATATCAAAAAGAATTAATCACTGCTAAATGATCCAGCATTACAAGTATTTTTTACTTGCTACTGATCTTGACTGCTTTATGGAAAGACTAGTTAGATTAAACAAATCCATGAAAACTGAGCTACTTCCAAGTGGCCATATATAATTAGAGCAAGATATTTGGCTGCCTCTACCTATAATCAGGCATAACTCCTAGATCTGCAGTCAATGTGACTTCAGGGTTCTTAGAACTATCCTGGTATCTGCTTTGGCTGGAAGCTGACATGGGAGTGTCTTTAGGCAGATGACAGATCAGAGTTGGCATTTCTAGAGACAGGTAGGGCCTTCTGGCCCACTTGGCTGAATTCTTCCTCCAGTCTCTCCAGAAAGGTCCAGGTGTCTGAGGAGCCAGTCAAAGGGCCTAGGCAGCCATCCCATCCTAACCTTGTGACTACATATCCTGGAAGTACTGGAAAGGAAGAGGAATGTCAGCATCATTCTGATTTTTCTGTTAATTCTGACTTAAAAACAGGGAAACACCAGTCACAAATTACTATGGATTTGCTTTCAATATTAAAAAGTTGTGGCCATGAAAGTTTCATTAAAAAAAAATATTATATGGCCCTGGCTGGTGTGGCTCAGTTGGTTGGGCATCATCCTGTGCACTGGGAGGTTGCTGATTCAATTCCCAGTCAAGGGCACGTGCCTGGGTTTTGGGCTTGATCCCTGGTTAGGGGTGTGCAGGAGGGGCTGATCGAGGTGGTACTCTCACATCAATGTTTCTCCCTCTCTCTATAAAAATCAATAAACTATTCTTTTAAAAAGACTACATGATATAAAATAACTACCTTGCCCTGGCTCAGCAGTTAGAGCGTCAGCCTGAGGACCGAAGGGTCATGGGTTTGATCCCGGTCAAGGGCACGAATCTGGGTTGCAGATTTGATCTCCCGCCCTGGTTGAGGTCATGGAGAAGTCAATGTGTCTCTCTCACTTCGATGAGAGAGATGTACTCCTCCCTGTCTAAAATATATATATCTATATATATATCCATCAATCCATTCTTGGGTGAGGATTAAAAAAAATAATAACTATCTTTACTTTATTCTCTCTTCCTTTACTTTATTCTGCTTTAACCAGGTTACCAAGTTTTCCACTTTGTGGATGACAGGAAACTATGATGACTTCCAATGCTCTTATTTTATAGGAATTAACGAACATTCATGTTCAAAGACAATTACTAGTGAGGATTTCCTGCAGAAGTACAGAAAGCTTAGAAGTCAACTTTCACCCTCCATACTATATTCCAATAATGGAAATCAGCTGAATGGTTCTGTATAATTTTGTAGTTTCATATTTTTAGTCCTAAGAATTCGAAGGCTCTGAAATTGCCTCCTAACCTAGCATAACCAAGCAGAAGACAGCTAACTTTCAAAACAAGTTGAAAGACAAGACTTAATTTGGTGCATTTAATTACACAGTCCTTATGAGTAGGCAAATTTGCAGGCTAAGATTTTTTTCCAGCTTTAGTTTTAGGTCCACTATATCTCTCTTTAGTGAACTTTGCACAAAGTTACATTAATAGGCTTATTGTATTAGAGCACCCGAGAGAAAGAATATAAATTAAGAATTTATAACTATTTTTTCAGATATACAAAGATGCACAATGATAATTATCTGTCTTCCTCATAAATTAATGACAAAGCCATAATAACTAATTGGTTATATTTTAACAGGTGCTAAATAGAAATACTTATCTCCTATCTACACTCTTATACTGATTAATAGTCTTTTATGAATAGAAAGCTATAACTGTCTCTCTTCAAGTCTGTCTGTATCACATAAGCATTGATCAGTTTTGGGCAGCTCATTCATAGCTGCCTGCCTGTGCTGAGCGGTCTTCACAAATCTAAGCAGATTGACGATGGCAGCAGGCGTCACTCCAGGTATACGACTAGCAGCCCCAATCTATGAATAAAAACCACAAGAGAAACAATGTGAGCCATGTCAAATACAATTTTCCTCCTACTGACATTTTGTATATTATAGTTTATAAAATATTTTTTCAAAATAACTCTATAGCCCTGGCCAGTTTGGCTCAGCGGTTGGAGCACTGGCCTGCGGACCAGAGAGTCCCAGGTTTGGTTCCCGCTAGAGGCACGTACCTAAAAAAAACAAAAAACAAAACAACAACAACAACACACAACAAAAAAACTCTATAAAGTAGATAAAGAAAATGTGATTATTATCATTATCTTCATTTTTGAAAAATGGGAAAATTGAGGCTTAGAGAAATTAAAATGACTTGTCCAAAATCACATAACTCTCAGATGTTACAGTGCCTACTTTTTCTTTTCATTAAACTAACAGAACATCCCCAGCAGTATGTTGGGCAGCACTCTATAATTAATCTCATTATTTCTGTTGTATTTTTACAATGAAATATATGAAGATTAACTCTAAGTGGTGTAAAGACTAAATAGCCTCGTGCCAGTTCAGGTCAGTTTGCCACCGAAGGAGTGAGTCCGCAGCAAGCATTCATCTGAGCTTTTTGTACTCAGAGCTGTGGGTAAGGGCTTGTGAACTTGATGACCAGTGCTGTCAACTGAATTTTCCAGTACAGTGGACAATTTCTATAACACCTTCACTGTAACAGTGCACTGTCCAACATGGCAGCCACTAGCCATATGTGATACTGAGCACTGAAATGTGGCTAATATGACTGAAAAGTTGAATTTTAAATTTTCTTTAATTTTAATTAATGTAAATGTCTAGTTGGCTAGTGGCCATAATCTTGGGCAGTGCAGCCTATGACTATCCACAAAAATATAAACCCAAAATGAATAGTATATAGATAGTTTTAAAATTTAAGGCTTGCTTGCCTGGTTTCCATGATGACTGGTGCTAAGAACACCATATTATATTGATGAAATTACTCCTCTCTTTAAAAATCATTAAAAAATTTTTTTACAGCCCTGGCCGATTTAGTTCAGTGGTTAGAGCGTCAGCCTGCGGTCCAGACAGACCCGGGTTCGGTTCCCACAAAGGGCACGTGCCTCAGTTGCAGATTGTCCCCGGCCCTGGTTGGGTTGTGCGGGAGGCAGCCACTCGATGTGTCCCTTTCACGTCGATGTTTCTCTCTCTCTCTCTCTTCCTCTCTCTCCCTCCCACTCTATCTGAACAAAAAATGGAAAAATGTCCTTGGGTGAGAATAAAAAAAAAAATTTTTTTTTTACAGACCATATTTTTGTTAAATGTTCCTTTACTGTTATGAATCATTACAAAAACAAAACAGAACAAAAAACCCTCTGCTCATTAAACTATGACACCACCAATTTTTAAGGTACAACTCAGTTTCAGAGATGCTAAAATGTACATCTTAGAATCAATAAATACAGCCTATCAGTCTTTAACTATTTATTAGAAATCTAGTACTAAACACTATAAAGGTTTTTATAGACTCAGATGAGTGTGCATGCATGTGCATACACACCATGTGTGTACATACATACTTAGGCTAAAGCATGGGGTGTGGGACCTCTTTGGCTCCCCTCTTTCTCCTAGTAGCTCTCAAGGCCACACTATGGATTCCCTAGAGAAAGATCCGAGTAGTAATCTGAAACCACCACATTATAATCAACCAAATTCTTCTTAAAAAAACAAAACAAAACATTTTTGTTTTAGAGAGAGAGGAAGGGAGAGGGAGAGAGAGAAACATTGATGAGAGAGTGAAACAATGACTGGCTGTCTCCTGCATGCCCCCTACCGGGGATCAGCCCATAACCCGGACTTGTGTCCTGACTGAGGAACCAGCAACCTTTTGGTGCATGGAACGATGCCCAGCCAATTGAGCCACACTGGCCAGGGCATAATCAACTAAATTATTGACTTCTGGTTATTTATTCAGACTAAGCTTTTTCATCTCTCATTTACAAATATATATATATATATCTGTCATAGAAACAGATATTGAAGATAAGAGGTGTTTTTACGATGAAATAAACCATTTAGTTATGTGGCCATGGTAATTCCAGGTTTAAAAAAATTAAAGCACTGGCTCTTAATGTATAACCTGTTCCTATCCATTGCCTGTTTTCTTACCGTCTGTGGGCGACTGAAATGTAGCTTCTCTCGAACTTCAGAGGACAAAGACACACCCCTGAGAGTCAGATAATCCAGGTCTTTTGGCAGTTGGAGAGCTTCATCTCGCTGAATGTTCTCGATTTCTTGTTGCTGATAGAACAATACTGATTCATAAGTGGCTGGTGAACAAAATAAGTTATGTTATGATACTAAGATTATATGAACAAGTTACATTTTTATAGCTTTTTACAATTTACAAAGAGGTTTTGGTACATTATCTCATTCATCACCTATCTCAGCACCATGAGACAGGTGGGGTACATGTTCTCTTTCACAAAGGAGGAAAACAAAGCTAAAATAAAGAAAGTGGGTATCTTACATATTAACTACAACAGTCTACCTTGTAGTTTACTGCATGTCCCTTTCATTTCAAAAATTTGGAAAATTAAAAGAAATTGCATTTCTTCTCAGTACAAATTTTGGTGGAACATTCCTTAATAGGCTGTGGGTTTGAATTTTAAATCTTAAAGATCAGATGTTTCTTCAAGAAAATAGTTCTGGGCCCTGGCCGGTTTGGCTCAGCGGTTAGAGCGTCCGCCTGCGGTCCAGAGAGACCCAGGTTCGGTTCCCGCTAAGGGCATGTACCTCGGTTGCAGTTTGTCCCCGGCCCTGGTTGGTCGTGCAGGTGGCAGCCACTCGATGTGTCCCTTCACGTCGATGTTCCTCTCTCTCTCTTCCTCTCTCTCCCTCCCACTCTATCTGTACAAAAAAATGGAAAAATGTCCTCGGGTGAGGATAAAAAAAAAAAAAAAAAAGAAAATAGTTCTGGGACTTCGGGTCAAGATGGCCGTGTAGGTAAATGCGGTATTGCATCCCCCACAACCACATCAAAGTTACAACTAAACTACAGAACAACCATCATTCAAAACCACCTGAAATCAAGCTGAATGGAAGCCCTACAACTACGGAATTAAAGCAGCAGCTACATCCAGACTGGTAGGAGGGGCAGAGGGGCGGAGGTGCGAGGGCCGGTGGCCAGACTGGCTGGTCTCACACCCATGTGTGGCCGATAAAAATCAGGAGGACACCTCGGCTGGGAAGGTCCGTCCTGAGGACTGAGGGTTCCCTGTCCCACACCAGGTGCCCTGCTCAGGGTTCCAGTGCCAGGAAGAGAATCCCCATAACTTCTGGCTGGAAAAACCAGCGGAAACTGAAGCACAGGGAGGCTGAAGCGGCTGGAGCCCCAGGCAGCTCCTTAAAGGCCTGCGCAGGAACTTATCGGACTCTCTCCCTCTAAGCTTGGAGGGGAGGCAGCTCGAGGGGCACCAGAAACATACAGGGAAGAACTGAGCTGTTTGGCACTAGAGTGAGGGCTGGAGAGGGGGCTTTCTCCAGGACAAACATGCTGTCAGAGGCCTTTGTTCCTTTGGTGAGCCCTTCCCTGGGGCGGCAGACAGCCACCATATCTGGGACTCCAGCAACCTGCCTCACACTGGTAGCCCCGCCCTGGTGACTCCCCAAGGCCCGGCCCCGCCCCACCCAATTTTCAGGCCCACCCAAGCTGTTGCTACTTGCTTAACCATAGGATTGGCCTCTTGGATCCTGCTTCAGGTTTTTCCTAAATTCTTTCAAACGAGCAGCATCTGGTCTCAGCTAGCCTCATACTGCTCCTTAAGTAATACACAGAAACAAACTCAGGGAGGCAGCCAAAATGAGGAGACAAAGAAACAGGTCCCAAATGAAAGAACAGAACAAAACCCCAAGAAAAGAACTAGGCGAAATGGAGATAAGCAACCTAATAGATGCTAAGTTCAAAATACTGCTTATAAGGATACTCAATGAACTCAGTGAGAACCTCAGTGAACTTAGTGAAGGCCTCAAGAGCATAAAAAAGGACCAGTCAGAATTGAAGGAGGCTTTAACTGAAATAAAGAATAATTTACACAGCTTCAATACTAGAGTACATAAATCCAAGAAGCAAACCATCGATTTGGAATATAAGGAAGCAAAAAACGCCCAATCAGAACAGCAAAAAGAAAAAAGAATCCAAAAAAATGAGGATAGTGTAAGGAGCCTCTGGGACAACTTCAAGCGTGCCAACATTCGCATCTTGGGGGTGCCCGAAGGAGAAGAGAGAAAATAAGACATTGAAAACCTATTTGAAACAATAATGGCAGAAAATGTCCCTAACTTGGTGAAGGAAACAGACATACAAGTCCAGGAAGCACAGAGAGTCCCAAACAAGATGAACCCCAAGAGACCCACACCAAGACACATCATCATCAAAATGCAAAAGGTTCAAGACAAAGAGAGAATCTTAAAACCAGCAAGAGAAAGGCAGCTAGTTACCTACAAGGGAGTTCCCATAAGGCTGTCAGCTGATTTCTCAAAAGAAACTTTGCAGGCCAGAAGGGAGTGGCAAGAAATATTCAGAGTGATGAAAACCAAGAACCTACAACCAAGGTTACTCTATCCTGCAAAACTGTCATTTAGAATTAATGGCCATATAAAGAGTTTCCCAGACAAGAAAAAGTTAAAGCAGTTCATCACCACCAAACCGTTATTATATGAAATGATGAAGGGTCTTTTTGAAGAAAAATATATATGAACCAAAAAAATGGCAATGAATACATATCTATCAACAATGGAATCTACAAACAAAATGAACAGGTAGAACAGAAACATTCTCATAGATACAGAATACATTTTGTTGGTTGCCAGATGGGTGGGGGGTTGGGGGAATGGGTGAAAAAGGTGAAGGGATTAATAAGTACAAATTCATTGCTAGACTGACAAACCTCAAAGGGAAAGGGGTTGGGGGGAGGGGGGGTGGGAAGAAATAAACCAAAGAACTTATATGCATAACCAATGGACACAGACAATAGTGTGGGAAAAGGCGGGAGGGGGGCGGGAGGGGGGCGGGAGTGGTAGCACCGGCTCCCATCACTTGACTGGCAGCCAGAAAACCTTAGCCCTGATCCTGGCCCTACCAATGAATTACCCCATGACTAAGGGCATGTCAGTATCTTTCTGGGCCTCAGTTCCTTTATCTAGAAATGTTAAGGGCTGACCTAGAAGACTTCTGATGGTCTTTGTGGCAACAGAAGGTACTGGTGAAGTGCACAGGCCTTATAGTCAGACCAGCTAGGTTCAAATCCCAGCTTTGCCACTCATCAGTTGTATATTCTTGGGCAAGTTACCATTTATCTATAAAATTAAGGTAATAATGCTAATACCTATCCTTCACAGGACAGTTATAAGTATCAAATGAAATAATGCATGTAAAGGGCTTAATACAACATGGTAATAGAACAATTTAGTACAACAAATTGTAATACATTTTTACGACTCATGAAAAGACTTGGTAAGGGATCATGGAATAAAAATGAGATATTATGAACCTAATACATATGTTAAAGTATATTTATTTAATCTTTTAGATATGTATATAGGAAAACATGAGAGATAATAAAAAAAATCAGAAATTGATTTCTGCCCTCAAGAAACTTGTTGCCTAGTGGAGAATCTGTGAAGTAATTTGAAAACCAATGGTATGTGTTATGTTTTAACTTAGTATGATTTCTTTGAAACCATGGATATGAATTAGAGTCTTTATCTACAAACAAGTTAAAGATAATTATTCTGGATTATTCTAACCTGAACCTGGTGACTAAATTGCAAACCAAGTTTAAAATGTAGAATTTCACCTCACACCTGTCAGAATGGCCGCCATCAACAAATCATCAAACAACAAGTGCTGGTGAGGGTGTGGAGAAAAGGGGACTCTAATACACTGCTGGTGGGAATGCAGACTGGTGCAGCCACTGTGGAAAACAATATGGTGTTACCTCAAAAAATTAAAAATTAAACTTCCATTTGACCCAGTGATCCCGCTTCTAGGAATATACTCTAAGAAGCCTGAAACACCAATTAGGAAGAATATATGTACCCCCATGTTCATAGCAGCACTATTTACAATAGCTAAGATCTGGAAACTGCCCACGTGTCCATCAGTAGACGAATGGATAAAAAAGCAATGGTACATATACACAATGGAGTACTATGCAGCGGTAAGAAAGAAAGATCTCTTATCCTTTGAGACGACATGGAGGGACCTGGAAAGTATTATCCTAAGTGAAATAAGCCAAGCAGAAAAAGACAAATACTACATGATCTCACTTATATACGGAATATAATGAACACAACAGTCTGAGGAATACGGTAGACCCAGAAACACGGAAGTAGGGCCAGACTGACATCCCTCAGAAGAGGGGGGGTGGGGTGGGAAGAGATAAACCACAGAACTTATATGCATGTATGCATAACCAATGGACATGGACAACTAAGCTGGGGATGGGGCGGGGGTGGGGTGGTGAGGAGGGTGTCAATGGGGTAAAAAAGGAGAAACATCTGTAACAAAAATAAATAAATAAATAAAAATTAATTAAATAAAATGTAGAATTTAATCACCTTTTTCCAGTGCTCAGAGCCTAAATGTTCAATAATTAAAAAAATTTTTTTTTTCCTTTATTGATTTTAGAGAGAGAGAGAAAAACATTGATGAAAGAGAACACTGACTGGCTACCTTTTGCATGGCCCCCACTGGGGATTTGGCCCACAACCTGGGCACGTGCCTGACCAGGAATCGAACTGGGCGACCTCTTGGTGCATGGGTTGATGCTCAACCACTGAGCCACAGCAGACGGGCAAAGTAATTTTTATTTAGGAGAGAAATCATAATATTGAAATAAAAGGTCAACATTACTTCTTATACACTGGTATACTACGAGTGTCTGGTCACTTGAAAGAATGACTCTAGAGTTCAGGTGGGTTTCCTTTGTTGCTAGACTTTTGTTACTTTGCATGCTGGGATGGCTGGCAGCACGTGGGTCATCCTATAAATAGGAAGGTGAAAGACCGCTCTGGAACTGACAGAAATGCCACTGCTAGGAGGAATGTAGCATTCTTACCACCTACACCCTACACCGGGCCCCAAGGAGCTTAAAGTCCTTTCCTGTCTGAACAGGACATCATCAACTTTTCATACCATTCATTCTCCCCATCTCACTCTGTTCCCTGCCTTTTTCTCCACATAATTTTCCACCCCAGGAAAAAAGAAACTGATCTTATCCTCAGTATTTTTATGTTTGAAACTTTCCATAATGAAAACTTTGAAAAAGTCATCTGTGGGCCCTGGCCAGGTAACTCAATTGGTTAAAGAGTCATCCCAATACACCCAGGTTGTGGGTTTGATCCCTGGTCAGGGTACATACTAGAATCAACCAATGAATGCATAAATAAGTGGGACAACAAATCAATGTCTCTCTCTTTCTCTCCTTCTCTCTCTAAAATCAATAAGCAAACAAACAAACAAAGTCATCTGTGGTTTTGATGGTCAATACACTGATCCAGAGTAGGACCCAGAGTATGAATTTCTTTGCTTGATACAAAATAAGTTATCTGAAGCTCGGCTGCTCTGGCTCAGTGGATTGAGCATCACCCCATGGACTGAGAAGTCCCAGTTTGATTCCCAGTCAGGGCACATGTCCAGGTTGCGGGCTTGATCCCTGGTGGAGGGCGTGCAGGAGGCAGCCAATCGATGTTTCTCTCACATCGATGTTTCTATCTCTAAAAAAAGTAAATAAAAATATATTTTCAAAAAATGAAAACAAAAACAAGCCCTGGCTCGTTTGGCTCAATGGTTGGAGTGTCGGACTGCGGACCAATGAGTCGCAGATTCGATTCCAGTCAAGGTGGTCAAGGGCACATACCTGGGTTGCGGTTTGTCCTCAGCCCTTGTTGGGGTCGTGTGGGCGGCAACCAGTTGAAGTGTCTCTCTCATGTTGATGTTTCTCTCTCATGTTGATGTTTCTGTCTCCCTCTCTCTCCCCTCCTCCCACTCTATCTGAAGGTAAATAGAAAAATATCCTTGGGTGAGGATTAAAAAAAAAAAAAGCAAAATAATTATCTTTTTATGGTACAGTATTCCAGTATATTGTCAAAGCCAAACACAGTATTATTTTTTTCATCATTAGAACATTATATGGGGAAACTGTAAAAGGAAAGTTCAAGGGGAATAAAAAGGTGTTGTTTTTATTAAGGAGAGCTTCACAGTAGCAGTTCCTAAACTTGAAATGTGCACACGAATCACCCGGGGGTCTTGTTAAAAGGCAGAAGTTTACCAGTGGGCCTGGGATGGAGTTTGAGATTCTGTATTCCTAACGAGCTCCCACCTGTTACAATGCTCCCAGACTATACTGGTCCTATGGTAATAATGGCTCCTCTTAAAACAGAGCTCTTAATGGATCTGCTGTCCACTCATAATTTGTACGAATGGAAAAGAGAGTATACATAGGCATCTTAAGTAAAAGAAGTATTTCCTACCTTCTATTTTCAGTCTTTCAGCTAGCTCTCTACATTGAGTGTACTTCTTCAAGGGTTCTGGAACAGCCTTGGCCAATAAATCCATGTCAACTTCCTCATACTTCAAAACATCTAGAGCTCTGAAAATACACACACATTTCATTAACATGGAGGTCCATATCATATAAAACAGATTAAGAACAGGATTCCTTGAAATAATAATCTCCGAATAAATAATACCAAAAGATATACCTACTTTTTTCCTAGTACAGTGAACAAATGCAGCAACATCTGCAACACAGAACCTCAGTAAGATATGTGTGATTCTCCCCAATTCCCTTCCTTTATCATGAGAAATGAGTTGTTGGTAATGGTTGCATTGCTATAACCCATTTGTCCTCCTTTCTTGTAAGGAGAGAATATCCTCTGATAACAAGGGTTTGATTGAGTTCCTTAAGAATTTATATCTAAGTTATAACCATTGAAGCCCATGTTCTATACATATAAGTTATCCTTTTGCATGCTCGGAACCAGCTGAAGGAGGTCTCCTGCTTGTTCCAAGGCTGCAAAACATTCTGCAGTTTCCCTCTTATTCTGTTTGGTTCTCACAAGGCCTCACTGATCCGTACAGTTTCCCTACCTTTACTGCCTTGATTCATTTTATTTTTATTTACTAACTTTGATCTTTCCCTCTTTTAATATATTGCCTTTTTGATAAATTCTGTCCACCCAAAACCAATTAAACCAATTAATTATCAAGTCAACAGAAAGTCAGACCTGCCCATCCAGGGGCCCAAGGCTTCGCAGGCCTCCCACCAGCCTTCTTTATAGCCCATTCTATTATTACAGTCATGCATTATAACCTTTGCAGATATCTGACTCATCTATCCCTCAGAAGGCCTGCTCTAGGAAAGCCCACACATTCTCTCTGCACAAGGAACTGGACAACTAGTTACAGAGCCTCATCAGATAAGCTATACTGAAGTCACAGAACCCTAAGCTCCAAAAGGGTAATGGTTGTCAATTTCAGAAATTGTAGAACATACTTCCTAATGACTAACCAAAAAAAGAGTTACACCTTGGGATCTAGCAGGATGGTGACCTGGAAGAAAAGCCCTTGAACATCTAACTTACAAAAAAAGAAAATAAGCCCTGGCCGGTTTGGCTCAGCGATTGGAGCGTCGGCCTGCGGTCCAGAGAGAACTGGGTTCGGTTGCCACTAAGGGCACGTACCTCGGTTGAAGTTTGTCCCCAGCCCTGGTTGGGTTGTGTGGGTGGCAATCACTCGATGTATCCTTTTCACGTCGATGTTTCTCTCTCTGTCTCTTCTTCTCTCTCCCTCCCACTCTATCTGAACAAAAAATGGAAAAATGTCCTCGGGTAAGGATAAAAAAAAACAAAACAAAAAACAGACAAACAAAAAAAAAACAACAAAATGAAATAATTTGTTTACAAGGCTTGGAACTGTTCTCAGGTCCAAACTTCAAGACATGCTTTGAATCAAGCCTAAGCCTCAGGGTACAGAGGTCTGGCACAGAAAGGACAGGTTCTCACACTCCAGTAGAAGACAAGAGAATTTCTGAGCTACCTCGCACATCAGTGTCCTTATACTCCTGACAGGACATGAGTGTGCACACTGTGTACCTCTGGTTAAAATGCCCGCTCAGAGTCTGGTTCAGCTCGTCCGTCCATGCTCAGCACAGAGCCTGGCATGTATGCAGTACAAGCGATCAATGTATTTTGACCAACTTTCTATCTTTTTCGTTTTATCTATCTAGGTATTGATAAAGTTAGTTCATTTAGGATACTGAATGTCAACTGTAGTCAAAATATAAAAATTGTTTTTTAAAAAGGAAAAAATAGATTAAAAAGAAGTGAGTTCATTTAGGGAGGCTGAATGCTAGAACTAAATATTCTGCTGAAATCAAATATGGGGACTGGGACCCTGCTTATTTGGTTCAATTACTTAAAAACAAACAAACAAACAAAAAAAAACCACCTTAACAAAATGGCTATTCATGGGATTAGCTTGGTAAAAATATGAAACTGCAGTCTCCTTTTACATATTTTTATCATATTTTAGACTGAAAACAATCACTTCCCCTGCTTTCACTATGACCTCAATACATCAATCACATTTAATGCAAATTCTAATTATATAAATTTGAAATAGTACAATATTTGATTGAGACAAAATATGTTATAAATTCCTTGTGCAAAGTTTGAAATAATGTGAACCCTCCTAAATTTAAACAAACAAACAAACAGCTGAAAACTGAATTACAGTGATAAACTGTGTTTATACTACTATCATCTCTCCGTGCCACTTAGCTGGTAAACAAATATACTTATCACCCTTATTTGTTAGGCGGGCTGTCATTCCTATGAATGAGATCCTCTGATTTGGGTGACTAATATGCAAGTTCTTTAATAATTACTGTTACTGCCCTGGCCGGTTTGGCTCAGCGGTTGGAGCGTCGGCCTGCGGTCCGGAGAGACCCGGGTTCGGTTCCCGCTAAGGGCACGTACTTCGGTTGCAGTTTGTCCCCGGCCCTGGTTGGTCGTGCGGGTGGCAGCCACTCAATGTGTCCCTTCACATCGATGTTTCTCTCTCTCTCTCCCGTCCTCTCTCTCCCTCCTACTCTATCTGTACAAAAAAAAATGGAAAAATATCCTCGGGTGAGGATAAAATAAATAAATAAATAAATAAATAATAATTACTGTTACTATAATTAAAAATCTGCTTAATATTCTCTAACAGAGGTGCCAGTGCTTTGGGAAATTCCCATGAAAAAAAAAAAACCTGGGAACAGAAGTTGTGAACAATAAGATGCCATGATGAAATGAAAGCCAAACAAAAACATATTATGCCAGGCTGTTAATTAAAGAGACAGCATTTGGAAAGACTAGAGATAATAAATACGTATAAGCAGTATTAAAATAGGTATAACTTTAAATCTCCAAAAACCCCTCACAAGGAAAATAAAAGTTAAAAAAACAAAGGAAAAATATACTGGAGACACAGCTGCAAGATCAATGCTCCATATATGCTTTAAGCTACAACATTGCAGATTTATGCCTTCTGAGCACCCACCCTACCTTATTAGCTTACTTTTTTTTTAACAGGGGAAAATCACTGGCAAAATATGAAAACTTTTTATTCAAGGTCATTAGGAATATATCTCTGAAGCAAAAAGCTCTATATTAATATGCTTTAGACTCAGAGTCCATATAACCAGAATGATAAAGACAAGGACAACCTCCCCCTTAAATGTATCAAAGGTTTACTGAAGTAAGTCCAAAGACTTACTTGACATACTCTCTGTTTAATCGAAGAAGTATCCTTGCTATATAGCTCACAGACAAGAGGAGACCACCCCAACTGCTCTAAGCATGTAAAAGCAAGCAGATAACTATATTCTTGGTTTGTACCCTCTATACCTTAGCAAAGCCAGAAGAACTCAATGGGAGCCATAGAAAATTATATCAAAAGTAAAAGTAATAATTTAGTATCATGAATATTTTAATACTGAATAAGGAGATAAGTTACATTTAAAGGATTTTGAAGAGAAGCCCAAAGTAAATTTCATTTACAGTGAGTAGTGAAGGAGTCTATAAATAATGTCCCTCTGAAATGATTTCATTTTTCTGTAAATTTGTAATTTCTTTAATTCATATTAAAAATGCATACCTGAGAGAGACAGTTTTACCCACACTTATAGAAGCCTCTGGTATTAACTTTTTCCATTTAGAACTTGGAAATTCAATGGATTTTAGCACAGAAATGCATTCTTCTAAAGAAGATTTCATCCAAGAAGCCCTTTCATATCTTCGTTGGGACACACAGCCAGCTTCCGTATACCCTAGAAGAGAGAGAGCAGGAGAGAATATAATAAGAGAGGTCTGAAAGAAGTAAACCTGGTAGACAGACTCAGTGAAGAGTACCTCTGAATGTGAGGCGGCTGTCGGCGTTATCAGGGCGCAGTGACAAACGGAACTCCGCTCGGCTGGTAAACATTCGGTATGGTTCATTGGTGCCCAGCGTGGTAAGGTCATCAATCAAAACTCCTATGTAGCCTTCTGTTCGGCTAACAACAAAAGGAGGCTTGCGTCTGACCCGAAGACTTGCATTAATTCCAGCTATCACACCCTACAAGAGGACTGAAATGGTTAAAAGGCCATTATGAACTGAACAAAGAGCTATCCTATTCAGAACACTACCTGGAGAAAACATCATGGGGCAGTAAGAAAGCAGGCACTGTCCAGAAGGGATAGAACAGAGGAAGAAAACCTGAACCTTATTCAGAAACAGAATATGGATAATGTACCACTTTACAATGCTATGATTCACTGTTTTCAAAATACATTCCTGAAAGGCCTAGATGAGATCATATTTTAAAAATCCACCTGTAGCCCTGGCCAGTTTGGCTCAGCGGTTAGAGCGTCGGCCTGCGGTCCGGAGAGACCCGGGTTCGGTTTTCGCTAAGGGCACGTACTTTGGTTGCAGTTTGTCCCCGGCCCTGGTTGGTCGTGCGGGTGGCAGCCACTCGATGTGTCCCTTCACGTCGATGTTTCTCACTCTCTCTCCCTTCCTCTCTCTCCCTCCCACTCTATCTGTACAAAAAATGGAAAAATATCCTCGGGTGAGGATTTAAAAATAAATAAATAAATAAATAAATAAAAATAAAAATAAAAATAAAAATCCACCTGTAAAACTTTTCTAGCCTTTTCCCACTTACAAGTAAAAATAATATAACTTCTCACTTCAAAGGGATAATATATGATAATTTTCAATAAAGTTATTTTAAAAGAGTAATAAAGCCACAAGTGGTTTAAAAAACCCTATTGTATATACTAGCCATCTCCATATATCCTAAAACAAAAATGTCTTCTACTAGCTATAAGTTGTATCTCAGATCTATGTAATTATCATAACTGACATTAAAAGGAGGACCACCAGTTAAATAGTCCCTTTCTGTTTACATTAACGTTTGAACAAACTCTTACTTGCGCTGCAGCCTCCTCATAACCAGTAGTGCCATTTATCTGTCCAGCGAGGAAGAGCCGCTGCACCAAACGCGTCTCGAGAGAAGGAGTGATCTGACGAGGGTCTAAGTAATCATACTGAACACCATAGCCTGATGTAACAAATGGTACAAAATAAGTAAGAACAGAACTGGATTTGCCTCAAGGTAGAGATGCAAAGATTATCATTAAATGTTCTTCAAAAATGAAGACTATTTTAAATGCACAGATGGTGGGTTTGTCCTTTGAGGCTCTCAGCAACCATGACTATAGCTAAGACTGCCTCACTGACTGCTCAGGTGATGCTAGGCTCCTACGGAAGGGCAGCTGTGATGGTCTTTACCTGGCTGGATCATTCTAGCTTTCTCCAAGCCTCTGATGCATGTGATCATTCTCTCTTGTAATTCAGCTGGTAGTGTCACAGATAACCCTTGGGGGTAGATGAGGTCAGAATCTATTCCTTCAGGCTCCAACCAAATCTGATGTAGACGGTTTGGAAAACGCAAAACCTTTGATTCAATGGAAGGACAATATCTAGAACAGGACATGGAAATAAAAAAGTTTTAATGAAACAATCAAAAGGAGGTTGGCATCATTCCTTAAGTAACTGAGTGGTGATATTTTGTCCTTACCGGGGTCCTCTTGTAGTTTCCTTAATGTGACTGTTAAGGTGCAGGTTCTCAAGGACAATCGCATCCACTCTAGGGTTGGTGTGAGTCAAATAACATGACAGCTGATCTTCTGGCTAAAACACATGAATTAATTATAACACTTTTGCTCCTCTACTAATTTGTCTCTTATTCAAATAAATTGCACACATAATATCCACTTACTTTTATAGACAATAAAATCTATATATAATGCCAAGTACTACTTATGAAATATTTTTGCCAAAAACAACACAAAAGATGAACCCCCCCCCCCAACTTATTTATCCTCACCCAAGGACATTTTTGCGTTTATCTTTCAGATCGAGTGGGAGGGAGAAAGAGAGAGAAACATCAATGTGAGAGAGACTCATCGACCAGCTGCCACCCACACAACCCCAACCGGGGGGACGAACCATAACCAAGGTACGTGCCCCTAGTGGGAACCAAAGCTGGGGCTCTGTGGTCCGCGGGCCAATGCTCTAACCGCTGAGCCAAACTGGCCTGGGCAAGATGAACCCAAATTTAAGCAAGTTCTAGTTTACAGGAAATATAGAGGATGGAGAAACACGTTTAAGGCACAAGAGAGATGAAATCAGACAAATCTAGAATGTTGAATCTACAGAATGACAATTTCTTCCACATATAAATATAAAAAAAGGGGGGGTGTGTGGCTATTATAAGGCATAGTATCCAATGCAATGTATAAACCTTATTTGGTTCCTGGCTCAAATAAAAACAACTGTAAAGAAACATTAAAATAAACTGTAGCCCAGCCAGTGTGATTGAGCATTGTCCCATAGACTGAGAGGTCTCGGTTCAATTCCCGGTCAGGGTATATGCCTGGGTTGTGGACTCGACCCCCAGTGGGGGGCATGCAGAAAGCAGCCAATCAATGTCTCTCTCACATCAATGTTCCTCTCTCTTTCTCCCTCCCTCTCTAAAATATCAATAAAAACATATTTAAAAAATAATAAATAAACTGTAAACATTTTAAATAGACACTTTAAAAGAACTGTAAAAAACAACCAAGGAAAACTAAACACTGAATATTGAATGATGTTAAGAAATTATGTTTTGCTGGGTGTGATAATGGTATTGTGGTTAATTTCTACAAAGTTTTTATTTGTTAAACATACACCAAAGTATTTATAAGCGAAGTGATGTGATGTCTGGGACTGTTGCTTAAACTCAGCAAGAGGAAAGAGTTGAGGAAAGATAAAACAAGAATGCCAAAAAAAGTTATTTATTGAAGTTGGGTGATGGACATTATACAATTTCTTCTACTTTTGTTTTGTTTTTAAACACTCACCTGAGGATATTTTTCCATCTATTTTCAGACAGAGTAGGAGGGAGGGAGGGAGGGAGAGAGAAAGAAAGAAAAAAACATCAATGCAAAAAAGACACATTGACTGGTTGCCTCTCCCACGACCCTGACCAGGACTGGGGACTGAACCGCAACCGAGATATGTGCCCTCGACCAGAATCGAACCCGCAGCTCTTTGGTCTGCGGGCTGACGCTCTAATCACTGAGCCAAACCAGCCAGAGCTCTTCTACTTTCTGTAAACTTAAAATTTTATAATAAAAGTTTTAAAACATACACACCAAGAAAATATCATCACAATTTACATTTTCAAAAAGAAAAAACATTCAAGTAACTTTACAAAAAAAAAAGCAAAATTTGAAGCCATTCAATAAGATAACACTCATGCCTGGCCATGTGGCTCAGTGGATTGGGTGTCCTCCCATGGACTGAGAGGTCCCTGGAAGTTCTATTCCCAGTAAGGGCACATGCCTGGGCTGCAGCAGGCCTGATCCCCAGTAGGGGGCGTACAGGAGGCAGCTAGCTGATCGATGATTCTCTCCCTTCCTCTCTCTCTCTCTCTCTCTCTCTCTCTCTCTCTCTCTCTCTCGAAAAAGCAATAAAAATATATTTAAAAGAAAAAAAATGATACAAGAAACCAAGACCATCAATTATTATTCCTCAATTCTAAAAATATAATATGTATATTTTTAATGTTCAAAAGACAGGCAAAAGCAACCTGTACTCTTAAAAAAATGTCAGTATCATGAAAAGACTGAAGAACTGTTTCAGATGAAAGAGAAATGGTAATTAAACGCAATATATGATCCTACATCAGGAAAAAAAAGTTGCTGTAAAGGACAATTTGGGACAATCAGCAAAATATGACTACGGACTTTATATTAGAAAACACTATTGTATCAGTGTGAAATTCCCCAAATTTCATCACTGCACCGAGGTTATGTAAGAGGATATTTCTGAGCTTAGTTGAAATACAGCTGAAGTATTTAGGACTAACGGGTCATGATCTTTGCAACTTGCTTTCAAATGTTTCAGACAAAAAAGAAGAGTAAGAATGAATGTGTATACTACTGTTTTATACCATATATATAATATACCATATATATAATATATATCTAGAGGTATAAATATGGCAAAATATTAACAATGGGTGAATTTCAGTGGTTTACAGATTAATTGTCTTGCAACATTTCTGTAGGTCTGAGATTGTTTCACAAAGTTTAAATAGGAAGTTATTGAAGTAATGAAACTTAAAAACATATGGGCAAATGACCCAATCAGCCAAATTAGCTAATCCTTTGAAAGATTTTCCCCCCACACCCTAAGTAATAGTGATGTAAACTGAATTGCTATTGAAAGAGAAATCACGAAAGAAAGAAAGAAAGAAAGAAAGAAAGAAAGAAAGAAAGAAAGAAAGAAAGAAAGAAAGAAAGAAAGAAAGAAAGAAGGGAGGGAGGGAGGGAGGGAGGGAGGGAGGGAGGGGGGAGGGAGGGAGGGAGGGAAGGAGGCTATATCCTGCTGTGAATAGTTAGTATTTAGCTGTAAAACCAGATTTTCATAAATTATCTTACCTTAATCCACACTGTTTCATTAATAAAGCTGAATGGCATGGGTGGATTATCTGGTGTCTGCTTGTTTAGAATGCTGAAATTAATAGATTCTTTGGCAATTCGGGGTGGAGTCCCAGTCTTCAATCTTCCCACCACAAATCCCAACTTCTCTAGAGTCTGAGCCAACCCTATGGAAGGTTGATCTCCTAAACGCCCTGCTGGGTGCATCTCCAATCCAATTACAATCACACCTCTCAGAAATGTCCCAGTAGTCAGAATCACACTGTCCGCATAGACTTTGCTTCCATCCTCTAAAGGATAGGAAAGAGAGTAAAATTCGTGTTCTAATTGTTAGCATGGATCAAATTGGGATATGACTGTTTTACATTAGAACTGCAGAAAAACTTTATCTTTAGAAATAACTTTAAATGAGTAAGAAGGCTACATGTTATCAATCTCTAGAATCCAAGAAAGCTGAGAGGGAGAACACAATGTGCTATCACCAATCCTCATGTTCCTAAAATTATGCCAGCACTGAAAATGATTAAATCTGTTGATTAAAAAAGTTAATTAACATTAGACTGCTGGTTAAATCTGATAGACTACCTCATATAATTTCTTCTCCCTCCTGAAACTCTAAGAAAATGAAATAAAGGGGCAAAAAGGATAGAAAACCACAAGTACAATGAAAGAACTTGTCAAGAGATGAGACGTTTCAAAATATTTTGGAAGACAGAAAGTGGTTGGATGAGTGATAACTGATCTAGCAAAGGGGAGAAAGCTATAAATCAATAATCTGAAGAGAATACACCAATGGGGACAAACAAATTTGCCCTACAAAGGCCCAGAAACTGAAGTACTTAGAATGAGAACTAAGGAATGTAGGAATGAAGCTTGGGGCTCAATTAAGAGAAATAGTTGAAATCTACACATAAAGGTTATATCTACAGACAGATTTCCTTACAGAAAAATCTAGGTTTATTCTTTGGGTCATGGGAAGTTACTGTTTAATTAAAGTACAGAGTTTCAATTTAGGATGAGAAAGTTCTGGAAATGGATAGTGACGGTTGTACAACATTGTGGATGTACTTAATGGCACTGAACTGTACACGTAAAAATGGGTGAAGCTCCTGGCCAGAGAGGCCCGGTTGGTTGAGCATCGTCCTGTTGCCAGTTTGATTCCTAGTCAGGACGCATACCTAGGCTGCAGGTCCGATCCCTGGTCAAAGCAGGTCGGAGACATATGGGAGGCAACTGATTGATGTTTCTCTCTTTCTTTTTTACCTCTTTCTCTCTCTCTCACTCTCCCCCCACTCAGCAGCATGTTCTTGGGTGAGGATTGAAAAAAAAAAAGGCAAATTTTATGTTTTGTACATCTTACTATAATAAAAATTGTATTATTGCCCTGGCTGGTTTGGCTCAGCAGTTGGAGTGTCCACCTGCAGACCAAAGAGTTGCTGGTTTGATTCCAGTCAAGAGCTTGCACTTCAGTTGCAGTTGGATCCCCAGCCCTGGTTGGGGTCGTAAGGAAAGCAACCAATCAATGTCTCTCTCTCACATGATTGTTTCTTTCTCTCTTTCTCTCTCTGTCCCTTGCTCCCACTCTGTCTGAAAATCTATGGAAAAAAATATCCTCAGTTGAGGATTAAAGAAAAAAATTGTGTTACTGAGTCTATAAAATATGGACAGGTTAAAAAATTAGCATTTAAAGATATAAAATTAATAAAAGCATAAGTAACTTAAAGGTATAACAGTCTACACTAATAAAAATAATATAATCATTAAATCTGAAGACGACAGGAAGCAGGAGAGAAAAGGAAATGAAAATAAAACTAATTTAGTAACTGTTCATAATGGGAAGTCAATAAACACTGACAGAGAAAAAAAAAGATTAAGCATACAATATAAACTCTTAGTTATTAAAATAATCACCAGAACAAAAGTACAAGCTTTTAAAAACAAAACATAGCTACCAAATGCAAAGTAAACATAGACTAAGTGGTTAAAAGTAGAGAACAGTGTGTATAGTACGCTGTTATGCAAAACACACACACACATGAAGATGGAAAGATCCACAATACACTAGGAATACTCCAGAAGAAAACTGGCTGGGGACAAAATGAGAGAGACCATCTTTTCATTTTATATTCTTTTGTCCACTTTAAACTGTTTACCATGTATGTAGTCCCCATTCAAAAAAAAAAAATGAATGAATCTATAATAAAAATTATTTTATAATAGGGAAATTAAGTCAAGGTCTGTATTTTAATTTTTTTTTCTTTATTGATTTTAGAGAGAGAGGAAGGGAGAAGGAGAGAGAGATAGAAACATCCATGAGCGAGAACATCGACTGGCTGCCACTGGGGGTTTGGCCCACAACCTGGGCATGTGCCCTGACTGAGAATCAAACCAACAACCTCTTGGTGCATGGGTCAATGCTCAACCATCAAGCCACACTGGCTGGGCCAAGGTCTGGTTTTTTTGTTGTGTTTTTTTTTTAATCCTCACCCGAGGACATTTTTCCATCTTTTGTTCAGATAGAGTGGGAGGGAGAGAAAGAAAGAGAGAAACATCGATGTGAAAGGGACACACCGAGTGGCTGTCTCCCGCACAACCCAAACAGGGCTGGGGACAAACTGCAACCGAGGTACGCGCCCTTAGCGGGAACCGAACCTGGGTCTCTCTGGACCAGAGGCCAACTCTCTAACTGCTGAGCCAAACCGGCCAGGGTGGTCTGTTTCGTTTTTTATTTTTGTCCTTACCCAAGGATATTTTTGCATTTACCTTCATATAGAGAGAGAGGGAGAGAGGGAGGAAGAGAGAGAGAGAAACGTCGATGTGAGAGACACATTGGTTGCCACCCATATGACCCCAACCGGGGCCAGGGACAAACTGTAACTGAGGTACGTGCCCTTAGCAGGAACCGAACCTAGGACTCTCTGGTCTGAGAGCCAATGCTCTAACCACTGAGCCAAACCAACCAGGGCCCAAGGTCTGTTTTTAAATGAGATTCTTCAGCACAGCTCCTCTCATTATTTTTTTAAAAACTGATTTTTAGACAGAGAGGGGGTGGGGGGGAGAGGGAGAGAGAGAGAGAGAGAGAAACAGATGTGAAAGTAAACATCAAATGGCTGCCTCCTGCATGCCCCCTACCAGATAAGTGCCCCGACAGGGAATCTAACCAGCAACCTTTCAGGGCACAGGACAACACCCAACCAACTGAGCCACACCATCCAGAGGTTTTCTCAACATTTTGTTCCCAGGATGCTACCAGGGATTCTGAGAACTGTCAGACATCAACATTTGGAAGTTTCCCCCCCAAAAAGTCAGTTCAATCCCTAATCAGAGTAAAGAGTCAGCCAAGCAATAAAATTAGTTGCATTCACAAATCTTCTAATCAGTGTTTTAGTGCTTCATTTTTAAAAATATGAAAAGAAAACCAAAATTCCCTAGATAGTTGAAGAAAGTTATGTACATGAAAGTAAGCAGCCCAGCCCTGGCTGGTGTGGCTCAGTTGGTTGGGTGTCATCCCATGCACCAAAATGTTTCGGGTTCGATTCCTAGTTGGGACACGTGCCCGGGTTTCTGGCTCAATCCCTGGGAGGGGACCCAGGGGGCATGCAGGAGGCAGCTGATCCATGTTTCACTCTCATACTGATGTTTCTGTTTCACTCTCTCCCTTCCTCTCTCTCTAAAAATCAATAAAAAATCTTTTAAAAAAAGAAAGTAAGCCGCCCAAATAAATAGAAAAAAAACATCTGGAGAAAATACAAAGACCAGAAGGAAACTTCAAAAATCGATCATTAACAGCCTTATGTAGATTATAGAAGATATCAAATTCAGAAACCAAGAACAAGATGTTACAAAAAGAAGAAACAATCAGCCCTGGCTGGTGTGGCTCCATGGTTAGAGCATCAGCACGTGCACTGAAGGGTCGAAGGTTCAATTCCCAATCAAGGGCACATACTGGGTTGCAAGTGTGCTCACTGGCATGGTTGGGGCACCTGTGGGAGGCATATCAGCCAATGAATGCATCAATAAGTAGAACAAGAAATAGATGTTTCCCTTTCTCTCCTTCTCACCCTCCCTTCCTCTCTCAAATCAATAAATAAAAAGTTAAAAAAACAACAAAAAAGAAACAATCAGTCCGGCTGGTGTGGCTCAGTGGTTGAGCGTCAACCCATGCACCAAGAGGTCGCTGGTTCGATTCCCAGTCAAGGCACATGGCCAGGTTGTGGGCCCAATCCCTAGTGGGTAATGTGTAGGAGGCAGCCAGTCGATGTTCTCTCTCATCGATGTTTCTATCTTTCTCTCCCTCTCCCTTCCTCTCTCTCTAAAATCAATAAAGAAAACATAAAAAAAAAGATGGGTTTAAAAAAAAGAAACAATTTTTTAAAAAGTGTATATAAATGAAAGTATAAATAAGAAAGTATGGCAAAATGACAAAATATAAAAATAGAAGAAACCTAGAAGACCAATCCAGGAAGGGATAAGGAATTACAGAGAGGCAGCATATAGAAATAAAAAAGAAAATACCCTAGAAATCAAGGACACAGATTTCTAGTTTAAGGAGAACACCTAGTACTCCACCACAATAAATAAACAAAGACCACACTGTGGGGGATCATTTAAAAATTTCAGAAAACCAGAGACACATATAAGATCCTAGAAGCTTTCATAAAGGAGAAAAAAGAAATCATGTACAAAAAAGTTTAAGTCAATATGTACTGAGCCTCTTCACAGCAAAACTGGAAGTTGGAAACAGAGGAGCAAGACTGTCAAAATTTTCAGGAAAAAAGATGTAAACTAGAATTCTCAGCTAAATTAAGAATCAAGTCTAAGGGGAGAATAATACATTTGTAGATATACAAGGACTCAAAAAAATCTATTTCCCATGTATCTGTTCTTAGGAAGCTACTGGAAGATGTGCTCTGGCAAAATGAGGTAGTAAGAAAGAGACAGACATAAGTTCCAGGAAACAAGGGATGATGTAACAGCAAAGTAAAGGAAGTCTCAAAATAACATATGTGCAGAAGGCCTAAAGAGCAACTGTCCTGATTACAGCAGATGCATTGTGGGGGATTGTTGAAGTTGATATTTCTGGAAAGGAAGCATCAAAGAAAACAACAGAATTGATAGATTATTTGAGCATTGAAAAAATGATAGTTTGGTATTTTTTTTTTTTTTTTCCTGATGAAAAGTTGAACAAGTACACGGGTAAAATAAGCAAATAAAAAATAAAGCAATTATTAACCCAAGGCAAGACAAAGAGGTATATGAAAGAAAAACAAACATAATACACTACCTGTATCTGCAATGAACAATATTTAAATAATCATCATAATATAAATACAATCAACCAAAATTTATGGTATAATTATGTTGGAAGGATAAAGAGAAGGAAAGCATGGGATTAAAGAGAGCTACTAGCCCTGGCCAGTTTGGCTCAGCAGTTAGAGCATCGGCCTGCGGTCCGGAGAGACCCGGGTTCGGTTCCTGCTAAGGGCGCGTACCTCGGTTGCAGTTCGTCCCTGGCCCTGGTTTGTCATGTGGGTGGCAGCCACTCGAAGTGTCCCTTTCACGTCGATGTTTCTCTCTCTCTCTTCCTCTCTCTCCCTCCCACTCTATCTGAACAAAAAATGGAAAAATGTCCTCGGGTAAGGATAAAAAAAAATAAAATAAAGAGAGCTATCATAAAAAAGTTAATAGACTAATTTAGGAAGTAAAAATATAAGCATATTGTTGAGAAATATGTAAGTATAGATCAGAAGTGACAGCTAAAAAAACTGATCTATTAGGTTTTTAGAGGTGATATAGAGATAATTATTTATCTATACAAACTTTTAAATTCTATTTGGTTTTCATAAAAAGTATGTGCATATGTTATTTTAATTAAAAAATTAATACATAACTCTTTTAAATAAAAAAACATATAATAATCCTATAAAATATAAGCTTAAAGTCACAACTAGGAAAAATAAAAAGTACAACAGAAACATCAAGAGAAAATAGACACCATTATGCAGGCTAATGTCCTATATATAGTACACATAAGCCCATAATTTGACTAAGCTTCACAAAGGTCAAAATGAAAGATTATGATTTTTTAAAACAGTTTTCCTCATCCATGAAGAGAAAACACACAATTTCCTAGAATAAGTAAAACTTCTCCATACTCTGCTCTAAAATGAACTGCGTACATGGAGTCTGATACTGCTGTTATCGTCTATAACTAGTACATACCCAAAACAACACCACTGACACAGCATTTCCCAGTGTGCTCAGGTTCTGGTTCTGTAAGAATAAGATCTTCTACAGCTCCCTCCTGAACAGTAAGCAGTGGTGTATTTAGGATTTCTTTCTGTCAAAAGAGAATGCAAGTTGAAACGCCAGTTAAACAATCACTACAGTTTCTCCTGCTTTTGTGCCCTATTCTTACCTGCATGTTCTGTTTATAGAGTTTCCTATCAATTTGAGCTCTTAGACCCCAAACAGCTGGTCCCTTACACCGGTTTAATACTTTGTAATGTACACCAGACTGGTCACAGATTCGGGAACACAGACCATCCAAAGCATCAACTTCCCTCATTAAATGCCCCTTTCCGATGCCACCAAAGGAAGGATTACAGGACATCTGACCTAAAGAAAACCAACAAAATAAATAAATGAGCACCTTGCAATAGCGAGTGTTTAATGGGGAAATGTTTGTACAAGTGACTAGAATTACCTCATGTGATAAAAAATAAGAAATTTGAAACAAACACAAAAAAGAGAAGTCCAAAGTCCCAGTAGAATGCAAGAGTCATTCAGACCATTCTGGAAGACAAACCGTTGCCTGTAGTTTCCTTTCAATCTTTTCCCTGATGCATATTTTTACTATTTCATTAGGTTGCCTTTTCCTTTAAAATGTGGTTTGACAACCCAATTAATAAATTGATAGAGGACCTGAACAGACACCTCTCCCAAGAAGACATACAAACAACCAACAGAGATATGAAAAGATGTTCAACCTTACTAGCAATTAGGGAAATGCAAATCAAAACTACAATGAGATACCACCTCACACCTGTTAGAATGGCTATTATCAACAAGATAAATAATAAGTGTCGGAGAGGTTGTGGAGAAAAGAGAACCCTCCTTCACTGCTGGTAGAAATGTAGACTATGGAAAACAGTCTAGCGATTCCTCAGAAAATTAAGAATAGAGTTACCATATGACTCAGCAATTCTTCTTCTGAGTATATACCCCCCAAACTAAAAAATATGTATTCACAAAAATATATGCACCCCTATGTTCACTGCAGCATTATTCATGGTGGCCAAGGCATGGAGACAACCAAGGTGTCTTTCCATAGAGGATTGGATAAAGAAAATATGGTACATATACATGATGGAATACTACTCAGCCCTAAGAAAAGACAAAATACTGCCATTTGTGACAACATGGATGGACTGTGAGAATATTATGCTAAGTGGAGTAAGTCAGGCAGAAAAAGCTAAGAACCATTATGATTTCACTCATATGTGGGATATAGAACTGAAACTTGTGGACACAAACAGCATGGTGGTTGCCAGAGGGAAGGGGGTGGGGTGTGAGGTTGAAAGGGGGCCTTATATGGTGATGGAAGATGATCTGACTTTGGGTGATGGGCACAATGCAATACACAGATCTTGTAACATAGAAACCCACACCTGAAACCTATATGGTCCTATTAACCAATGTCACCCTAATAAATTTAGTTTTTTAAAAATGTGGTTTTGAAATCTTTACCTAGTGAAACATTCCCAAATCAAGAATACTTTTAAGAAGTCCATTGGCATTGGTTCCGTTACAATCAATTATGTCTTCTATAAATGCCATCTGTTTGCTTTTTTGCTTATTTTGCAGAAATAATTAAACTATAAGCTTCCTAAAAGTAGAAACCATATTTTATATCTTTTATTTATATTTCTGTAGTCTTGCCCTGGCCAGTTTTGCTGAGTGGTTAGAGCGTCAGCCAGTGGACCAGAGAGTCTTGGGTTCAATTCTGGTCAAGGGCATGTTCCTCGGTTGTGGTTCAGTCCCTGGTCCTGGTCGGGGTTGTGCAGGAGGCAACCAATCAATGTGTCTCTCTCACATTGATGTTTCTCTCTCTCTCTCCCTCCCTCCCTAAAAAAAATTTTTTATTTCCCTAGTCTTATTTGGAGGTATAAACTCATATGGTTTCCTCAAAGGTTTTTTTTTTTTTTCATCCTCACCTAAGGATATGTTTCCATTTATTTTCAGACAGAGTGGGAGGGAGAGAGAGAGAGAAACATTGATGTGAGAGATACATATCAATTGGTAGCCTCCTGCACGACCCTGACCAGGGCCAGGGACTGAACCGCAACAGAGGTACATGCCCTTGACCGGAACTGAACCCACAACTCTATGGTCTGCAGGCTGACGCTCTAACTGCTGAGCTAAACTGGCCAGAGCTCAAAGGTTGTAGTAGATTATTTCTCTCCTTCCTTTGGAATGGAATCACAATTTTATTTAAGTAAACACACTTCTTTATGAGATTTTGTGTTTAGGGAGTGTAACCTAAACTCAATTTAGGAGTAAATCTTTATTGATTGAAAGTAATATGGTAATCCTGTTCCTACTTGCCAGTGTCTGGTTTAAGAGTGTGAAATAAGTCATGAGGAGTTGGGACAGGGGGGAGGCTGTAGGAAAAAGGTTTTTTTGTTCCTCTCTTCTTTAAAATGATACAAGCCCGGCTGGTGTGGCTCAGTGGACTGAGCATCGTCCCATGAACTGAGAGGTCCCGGTTCCATTCTCAGTCGTGGCACATGCCCGGGTTTCAGGCTCGATCCCAGGTAGGGGGTGTGCAGGAGGCGGCCGACTGATGTTTCTCTCTCACACTGATGTTTTTCCCCCCGCCCCCTTCCTCTCTAAAAAAATCAATAAAAACATATTGAAAAAAAAAAGATACAAGGAGGGGAAAAATGCCCTTCTGCTGAAAGTTGTCATATCTGGGTGTAAACCTGGAACTACTACAGCCATTTTACAATCACGAGGATAACTAGTGTGAAGACTTGAAGAGTGGCATAACAGAGATATGGAAGGAATTTGAATCCTTGGACATTGTGACAGTGCTGATTTAACCAACCTTAGAGCTGATCGACCTGCAGACTTCCTGTTAAAAAAACTCTCTTTTTTGTTTAAACTAATTGTGTAAGAACTTGTTACTTACAAAATGAAATAGTGTACATAAAAGTGTCTGGAATAGAGTAAACAATAAATAACATTTACTAATAATTGTTTTAATTTCTTTTCCAGGTCAGTGTAAAATATTCTTTGCTTCTAATCTTTACTTTTTAAAATTCACATAATTTCTTTGTTTTTTTACATTTATTTTTAATAGTAAATAATTTTCCTTCACTAGCACCATTAAAAACTATTCTCAAATGTGTAAAATATTACTCTTTATAAAAGTATCCTTACATGGGTGCCTTAGAAAAGTGTTCCAAACACCATGTATAAAATCAATAAGTATAAATAGTGAATTATTTATCTTAGTATTAACTTTATATGACAGCAACCGATTTGCACTCCCGAGTTTCTAAGTCAAAATATTCTTTCACATATGTTAAAATATTTTATTAAAGAAATCTAAAAAATAAGAAGTACTGAAAATAATGTAATTAATTTCCAATTATCAACCCAGATCCAATCTTATGTCTTTTATAGCTCAACCTACTTCCCTCTCTCCCAGATCATACCAATTATAAATACAGGGTGTCCCCCAAAAAAGTATACAGGGTGTCTAGAGAATCTGTTACATTTTGAAAATGAAATGTATTTTAGTAAATACTGGCTTTATAATTACACTTTTATTGTGTATACATTTTTTGGGGGGGACATCCTATATTTCAGACAAGGACTTTTTTGTTTAGAAAAAAATACACACACAATAACTTAATCACACCTAAAACATCTGAATTGTTTGTAATTAATATAGCCAAAATATAAATATACAGAAATGTGGAATGATATCACCAGGTATAATATTTTTCCTATTAACTCTGTACTACTCTTTTTTTTTATCCTCACCCGAGGACATTTTTTCATTTTTTGTTCAGATAGAGCGGGAGGGAGAGAGAGAGGAAGAGAGAGAGAGAGAAACATCAATGTGAAAGGGACATATCGAGTGGCTGCCACTCACACGACCCAACCAGGGCCAGGGACAAAGTGCAACGAAGTACATGCCCTTAGCGGGAACCAAACGCGGATCTCTCTGGACTGTAGGCCGATGCTCTAACCTCTGAGCCAAACCGGCCAGGGCTGTACTACTCTTTTTTTGATTTTTGTTAATCCTCACACCAGTATATTTTTTCCAATGATTTGTAGAGTGAGTGGAAGGGATGGGTGGGGGGGGGGGAGATAAAAACATGCATGTGAGACACATCAATTGACTGCCTCCCACAAATGCCCCAACTGGGCAGGGATTGAACCTGCAATGCAGGTATGCCCTTGCTTGGGAACTGAATCCCTTTGGTGCTCTAACACCAGCCAGGTCTACTCTGTATCACTTTTAAGTAATCCTCTTCTCATCTTTAGAGAGGGAAGATACTTTTAGATCAGAGGTTATAACCCAGTGGTATGCCTATGATGTTTTGCTCAGTGCACATAAGGATTTTGTTAAAAATGAACAAAACAATGAATGGGAATGTATTTTCCAGTTCACCGCTGTTCCCAGTATTCCACATTGTTTTATATCCGTCTAGCTTCACATGTTTAAATTGTGTGTCTGGCTCCAGACCATCCCTGTTCTAGATATTGCTACTCATCAAAATGACTTACCTTTTTTAAAAAATTGATTTTAGAGAGAGAGAGGAAGAAGAGAGAGAAACATTTATTTGTTGTTCCACTTATTTATGCATTCATTGGTTGATTTTTTTTTAAATTTTTATCCTCACCCAAGGACATTTTTGCATTTATCTTCAGATAGAGCGGGAGGGAGAGAGGGAGGAAGAGAGAGAGAAAGAGAGAAACATCGATATGAGAGAGACTTATCAACTGGTTGCCACCCACACAACCCCAACTGGGGCCTGGGATGAACCAAACTGCAACTGAGGTAAGTGCCCTTAGCAGGAATTGAACCTGGGATTCACTGGTCCGCAGGCCAACGCTCTAACCGCTAAGCCAAACCGGCCAGGGCCATTGGTTGACTCTTTTATGTGTCCTGACTGGGGACATGCAACCTTTGGTCTATTGGGATGATGCTCTAACTAACTGAGATACCCAGCCAGAGAAAATGACATAACTTTTAACTTCCATTATATATGTTAATTTTACAAAAATCTCCGAATCCCACTAGTTTCTGACATTTTTTCAAACTTTGATCCCCAGAAATGAGTCTCCTCATACACAGAAGGAAAAAAAAACAACCCTAAAACACCAGGAATAAATTACTGAAATTCCATCACAAAACTAGACAACTTCTAGGCACTTTATTTAATTAGTGTGCTGTATTATAAACCTATTAATAAAATTTACATTTGTGAAAGTCAAGAGCAAAGAAATCCTCATCTTAAAAAAAATTTTTTTTTCTTTATTGATTTGAGAGAGAGGAAGGGAGGAGAGAGAGGTAGAAACATCCATGAGAGAGAACATTGATTGCCGCCTCCTGCATGCCCCCTGGGATTTGCCCCACAACCAGGGCATGTGCCCTGACCTGGAATCGAACTGGCTATCTCTTGGTGCATAGGTCAATGCTCAAACACTGAGCCACACCAGCCAGGCAAAATCCTCATCTTTCTAAATTGCTGAAAACTTTTTCTCAAAGAAATATATGTATCAACACAGAGCATCTCTTCTTATAGGCATAAAAATTGAACATGTCACTTTCTTTTGCTTAGTCCTCAACATAGAACTTCAGGAAGCAGCATTCATCCCAATCATTTGGAGTTAGAATAAGATCTACTGGTCACCAGTGCTCTTAAATAGAGGTTACTAACATCCCAAGTGCATCAGTACTTGAGGTGGGCAGTGGTAGTAGTATAAATCCATTAATTTTTCACTCTTCTAAAGAATTTAAGTTGGCTAGATAACCTCATGCTAAAGCAATATTTAACATCTGACCACTTAATATAGGTCAGGCACTATTTTAGATGAGTTGCATGTATTTTCTGACTTAAACTTTACAGCAACCTGATGAAGTTGGTACTATTATTTCAATTTCATACAGAAAGTAAGGTTTAGATAAACTGTCCCTAGCCAAGATCATACAGATAATGCACAGTGGAGCCTAGAATAAAATTCAGAAATGTCTAACAACCTTTTTAATGGACAACAACCTCCATGAAATGTGTAGGTTATACAACATAGAATAAACAGGCTCAGAAGGCTTGTCTTTTTTGTTGTGAAAGGACAAAAATAAGCTTGCCAAAAAGCACTCTTTTCCAAGTTAGCATAAAATAGAAGATTGTCTGCTTCTGATTTCACTGTTGGCAAAGGATAATAAAGAACAAATCTTGCACCCTGGCCAGTTTGGCTCAGCGGTTGGAGTGTCAGCCTGTGGACCAGAGAGTCCCGGGTTCAGTTCCCGCTAGGCCCTAGCGGCTAGGGGCACGTACCCCCCCCCCCCCCAAAGAACAAATCTTGCAGTCTGTATTCTTATAGAAGTTCAACCTTCAACCAAATCTATCTTTATTAAGTCAAGCAGAATTACCTAATACTCCACTATATCAAATTACATTAAAAAAATAAAACTTTGATTTTAAGACAGTATTGTTATTCACTAAGCTCATCTATGAGAGTTATTAAAGTATCTCTGAAATGTATTTAGTTTAAAACATATCATATTTTGTTGAGAATATGAATATGAGTTTTGATGGGAATCCCTTTATCTCTGACAGAACTATATAATATACTATATAATGTTCACCTCAGTTCAATAATACTTTTTTGGTTATTATTATTAAAAGGTAGTACTATAAACAATATTATATAATAAGTAAAATGTAATCTTTTGGGTAATCATATAGTCTCTCTCCAAAAGGATCACTGTTAGTGTATATATTTCTTTACAGTTACGATCTGGATGGCAATTTTAAAAAAGTATTTCAGTATACAAATATGTAATTTATTCACAATTTTTACAAAACAGTATTTTAATTACTATTCACTCTTAAGCAAAATGCAGGAGAAGAGACATGGGCATGCATGATTTACAAGATACCGTTTTAAAATTTTCTTTTCTTTATTGATTTTAGAAAGAGGAAGGGAGAAGGGGGGAGAGAGAGAGAGAGAGAGAGACATCTATGAGAGAGAACATCCACTGGCCGCCTCCTGCATGCCTCCACTGGGGATCGGCCCCCCAACCTGGGCATATGCCCTGACCAGGGATCCAACCGGTGACCTTCTGGTGCATAGGTCGATATTTAACCAGTGAGCCACACTGGCTGGGCACAAGATACTGTTTCAGCTAGCATCTATCATAATGCAAGAACGCGGTCTTGCTGCAAATTATGGCAGTCCAACCGTTGCCTTATTAAAGGCAAAAAAAACCCACAAAGCACCGTCGAATCCTGAGCACAAAAGTGGGGAACAAACATCCAGTAGAAATATAGAATGTAACAAAAGGTAGCATCCTTCTTCAAGAGGGCTTCACAAAATCTCGAGAAAAATACCAAGGTTGTTTAATAAACGATCACTAATAATGTGAATTCACTTTTTATCCAAAGCAACAAGCTAGTAAGGGTTAATGGCAACAATGAAATAAGAAGCTATCAGCAAGTTACAGAATTTTCAGTTTTCCCCTTTCCCGAGGCCCTACAACCCCCAGGCAATTACTTCTGTCAACAGCAGCATAATCCGCGGTACCCAAAATAGCCTAATCCAGAGTTCTGACCTGGGCCCGCCTGCGAGGCACAAATCGGGCTAAAACCACCCACACCAGGGTTCTCAGCAGCCTTGGGACAGGGAACAGATTGTCCACATCAGGCCCTGGAAGGGGTAGAACAGGATTATTTGCAATTTGCGTCCTACGCAAAGCCCCACTCCACCGTACTCCTCACCGATCGTGTCCACGCGGTGCGTGAGCAGCAGAGTTCGGGAGCCGCACCGAGCGGCAGCGGCGGCTGCCTCGGTCCCCGCGTGTCCTCCGCCTATGACTACCACGTCGAAGTGCGGAGTCCTGGGCGCAGCGCCGTCATTGCTGAACCGGGCCAACGGGTGCTGTTTGGTGAGGGAAGCCGCAATCCAGCGACCACCACCTCGGAGGGAGAACATGCTTGGAGAAAGGCAGTCTGAACCTGACACAAGCGAGGCGCACACGTTAAGGGCACGGGAGTAAATCTTCAGGGCGCAGCCACCTTGCTCTGACGTCACGGCGTAGCACGTCTCCGTCCAGCGTCGCCGCTGATTGGCGGTTTGGCGCGACTTGACTGGTCAATCTAGACCGGGTCACGGCGCTGGTGGTCTTGGGGCGTGTACCTGTGTCGTGGTCCGTGCAGGTTGTTTGATTACCGGCGGGTCTGGAGTGAGGCTTCCCACTCGGTGTGATTTTCGGTCTTCTCAGTCAAGTTGCAGCCCTGATCGCCAGGTGGCCGCCTAGAACAGTGATTTTGATCACGTTGCTTTATCAGATTCTTTGAATTTTGTGGCACACTATCACCTTGACTTCCGTTTGTTTATAATGACAAGAGTCTGAATAAGAATAGATTTGGAAGGAGTTCAAGTACGTTTGTGGATGAAAGATTCATGACGGCTCATTAGGGAAATCCCAAGGTTGAAGGTTAAATGCCCAGTCTTTTGAAGTTGATCTTTTTAAAGCCTTCCTTAAGAAAACTTTCACTGGTTCAAGAGTGAAACAACCTGTGTGGGAGTTTTATTTTTCTGATTATTAAAATCTATCAAATATATCATTTTGTTGTCTTATTACATTAATAATAAGTGTTCTTGATACACAATTTAAATCTTACAGAAATACGAAACTTTTGAGAGTTAAAGAACCTATAACTTCCATCAGGCCTTCAAATCCCCACCTCGATAATCATTGTCAGCATTTTCTAATTCTTCCTAGTTTTTTAATTGAATACTAACACTACTATTATTTTGCACATATAACAATGTGATTATATTGTTCTTAAGTTTGCTTCTTTTTTTAACAATATATTTTTTGACTCTCTCCATGCCAGTATATATGAATCTATCTCACTTTTTAGTGATATATACTATTCAATTGTGTATGTGAACCATGATTTATTTAATGAACTCCAATTACTAGGCATTTGGTTTTTACTAATTTTTTTTGGTATTATGATCATCCTTGTACAGGTATCATTTTTAAATTTATTGGACTTTTTCTATAAGTGAAAATACTGGGTAAAAAGACATATTTGAAAACCACTAAATTAATTTTCTAAAAACTTTGTGTCAGGTTGTACTAAGAGTGTAAAATTATTTCATCACACTGTAGCCAGCATTGGATTTTAATTAAGTTTTAACTATAAATATATTTTATATTTTTCATGAAAATGGGATATGTGCACTGTTTCATAATCTATTCTTGCACATCATAGTTTATCATGGACATTTTTTATGACAATAAATACAAGTTTATGTCATCTTCAAGGGTTATACATTATTTTATTAATATGTTAAAGTCAATAGCTTGAGTCTTTAATAAAAGAATCACTGGCCTACATTTTTAACTTTACTAATATCTTCACATGACATATATATTTATTTTTTCTTTATTGATTTTAGAGAGAGAGAGAAAGGGAGAGGTAGAGAGAGAGAGAAACATCAATGACAGAAAACATCAATTGGCTGCCTCATGCTGGCCCCCACTGGGGATTTGGCCCACAACCTGGGCATGTGCCCTGACCAGGACTTGAACTGGTGACCTCTTGGTGCATGGGTCGATGTTCAGCCACTGAGCCACACTGGCCGGGCCACATGACATATATTTAAATGAGACCCTTCTCTTTCCTATAGAACCAAAGATAAGATGTTTAGGCAGGGATAGATGTATGATTAACCAGATTTCCACTATAAAAGAAGATAAAGCTCTTCATTATGCTGAAGTTAGTCTGTTACCATTTGTGTTGAGGATCCCCAAGACCATCCTCAGGTGGTTTTTTTGTGTTTTACTTTATATAATTATTTCATTTGCTCCTCACATTAATTATGATGTAAATATTATCTTCTTTTTTAATTTAATTTATTGGGGTTACATTGGTTAATAAAATTATAAAGGTTTAAGGGGTACAGTTCTATAATGCAACATCTGTATATTGTATTATGTGTTCACCACCCTAAGTCATGTCTCTTTCCATCATCATTTATCCCCCACTTTACCCTCTACTCCCTCCCCCAACCCCTATATCCCTCTGGTAATGACCATACTGTTGTCCATCCTCAGATATACATTTTTTTTTTCATTCCAGGAAGAAATCACATTTTATTTCTGGCTAGTTTTCTCCTCTAGAGTGGATCAGGAGGGGGTGGCTTTTGGAGTGGAGATGTGGCTGGGTGGTGAGAAGGTGGGGTTGCTCATCTGTTTTTTACTGATGGCAGTAGGGTCTTGGGGTCTGTGTCTGGATCACTACTGCAGTATGTCATTTGTTGACAGGCCCTCCTTGAAATTTACTATTAAACTAGTTAGGTTGCTCTCCAGCTTGAAGGTCCCCAGTGAGCAAAGCTTGGGACCAGGCTTTGGGGAATTCTGAAGATTGAGTTAGAGGATCTTGGGCATATTGTTGCCTTGCCTAAGGTGGTGTTTGTGACAGTGGCAGCAGGGGCTGTGGCTGCCCATCCTCAGGTTTAGTGATAAGTTCAAAGGACTCTCAGAACTCAGAAAAGCTGTTATGTCATGGTTCTGGTTTATTACAGTGAAAGGATGCAGATTAAATTCAGCATGGCAAATGGTACACAGGGCAGAGTCCAGAACAGACCAGGCACAAGCTTCCAGTTGTGTCTCCCTCTGGAGTCACATGGACAGTGCTTACAAATGATGTGTGACAATACAAAGTATTGCCAACCTGGGAAGCTAACCCACACCTGGGTAGCCAGGGTTTTCACTGGGAGCCTTATGACTCTGTGCCTGCATAACTGACCTAGTTATTTAGTCTTCAATCACTACAGCATAGACCAGGGACCCATCCAAAATCACACTGTTAGTGTAAACTATCTGACATGGCCCAGAGCCCCAGGTATATACAAAGACACTTACAAAGTTGTTGTTGTTTTTTTATTGAGAAAGAGAGAGAGAAATTTGTTGTTCCACTTATTTATGCCATTATTTCATACTTGTATGTGCCCTGAACAGGGATTGAACCCACAACCTTGACATATTGGGACACCGCTCGCCAGGGTTATACAAAGATACTTTTATTCCAAGAGCTTACAAGTCATCTCCCAGGAGTCTGTCAGGGGCCAGTCCTTTCTTTGGAATGTGCAGAGTCTGAACACCCTAAGTCTGCTGAGTTAACTCTTTATGGCACATCCTTTTTATGAGTTAAGGGCATCTTCTTTGATCTTAAGTTAGACTGATTGATATATGTATGTTAAGAGATGATCTACCCAAATTACTGAACACCTGGAAACACAGTATTCAGGTCCCTGGATTGTAAAAGCATTAAAAACAAACAAACTATTATGGTTACAGAAAAGAGAGGTAAGAAAAAGTAGAATAAAAAACGTGTCACCAGAAAATATTTGGACCGTACAAATAATATTTTATTTATTTATTTTTATCCTTACCCGAGGACATTTTTCCATTTTTCGTTCAGACAGAGTGGGAGGGAGAGAGAGGAAGAGAGAGAGAGAGAGGAACATCGATGTGAAAGGGACACATCGAGTGGCTGCCACCCGCACGACCAACCAGGGCCAGGGACAAACTGCAACTGAGGTACGTGCCCTTAGCGGGAACCGAACCCGGGTCTCTCTGGACCTCAGGCCGACGCTCTAACCACTGAGCCAAACTGGCCAGGGCCCGTACAAATAATATTTTAAAACCCAGATAACTTACTTGTTAATGAATTTCCTTTCCTTCTACTCTCTAGTTAATTTCAAGTCTATTAGCTGTTGAGTGATGAGAAAAGTAGAAAATCTCTGCTATTGAAAGGAATAGTTTTATGGTCCATTTAGGCAGGGTATATATAAACAACAGAAGAAAAAGGAGGTCAGTTATAAATTGGTCAATTTTCTAACCATTTCGGAGAAAGGATGGGCTTACAAGAACAAATACTCTCACTCCGTGTCCTCAAAGAGTCTGCAGACTAGTAATTGGCACACATACGGTTGTGAGGCAGTACATTAAATGTCATAATATAGCCACAGTGAGCTGCGATTACAGGTTGCAGAGGGGGAGTGATCCTGTCCATGGCAGATGACAGGGAATGCTTACTTCACAATGGAACTGACTTATGAAATGGACTTCAAGTAATTCATAAAAGGACAGAAAAGTTATTGAAGAATCCTTATCATCTGTTCTCCAAATACTTTCTTAGTCTCTTAACTTTTGCATTTGCTGTTCCCTCAGCCTGGAATATTTTTCCTTATTCCCTTGCTCTGTACACCCATATTCCCACAAACTTTATGGTAGGTATTTAATGTTCCAGAAGAATCTCATTCAAGGCAATAGGAACAGTTACAGATAGGCAAGAAGATGGAGATTTTAAGTGTTAATGTTTTTTTTCCTTCACAGCCATTTCTTGATATACTTTGTCTTCCAAGACATCAAGATATTCTGGTTTTCCTCCTACTTTTCTGGCTGCTACTCCCCAATCTATTTTTTCCCCTTCTCAATCTATTTTTATGGTTTCTCCTCCTTGAGCACTGTACTCAAGTCTAAGGGTACAACCAAGCCAATCCCCCCAAACCCGTCTTTAGGTAGTCTATCTCTTGGGACTACTACTAACACCAATTCTGTAGCAGTCTGGATCCAATAAGGAGAGAAAAATCACACAGATTACGCAGAAGATACAAAATATAAAAATAATTCATTGTAATAAAGAATAATTATAAGGAACTTCCAGTCAAGATGGCAGCGTAGGTAAACGCGGTATCGCGTCCTCCCACAACCACATCAAAGTTACAACTAAACTACAGAACAACCATCATTCAAAACCACCTGAATTCAAGCTGAAGGGAAGTCCTACAACTACGGAATTAAAGAAGCAGCCACATCGAGACTGGTAGGAGGGGCGGAGGCAGACAGGCTGGTCCCATACCCACGTGTGGTGGATAAAAATTAGGAGGACACCTCGGCTGGGCAGGTCCTCCCTGAGGACTGAGGGGTCCCCGCCCCACACCAGGCACCCCAGTCAGTCAGGGTTCCAGTGCCA